TAGGGTTTTTCCTTTTAAGGGTGCTTTGTCCAGTTCCAAAAAAAGTGCACAGTCTCTCACTTTCGGGACACCTGTCCCCCCCAAATTTCACCCCCTGTGGCCAAGGGGTCTCAAGAACAGAGATCTTCCCCTCCACTGAAGATGGAGGGCACCACTACCCTCCTCACCCGTTGCCTCTGTTCACACACTCCTTCACATAACAACACTGAGCTCTCTTGGCTCCGAGCCATTGCCTCCCCCTAGATGCAGTCTCTGTGTCACAGGAAAAATGGTTCTGTCCATGATTATATAAGAAAAGTCCAGCCAAAGACCACTCCAGCATCTCCTCCCACCTAAGATCCTTCTCCACTTGTCTCATGGCCCATTTCCTCTTATCTCTATCTCTCTTCTCATTCAGCTCCAGGAGGATTGGCATTTGTAAGGCTTCCATCATCCAAGAAAAGGGTTAAAAATCTCAGGCTCTGCTGTCCAGAACTCCCACACTGCCCTGCCAAGTGCCCCCCCCCCCCCCCCCCCCCCCCTTCTCCTTCTCAGCCGGCCTGCTATCAAATTTCAAGGTGGTACAAACACAGAGACCGACTCTCCCCCTCTCTCTCTCTCTCCTGGGGGGGGGGGGGGGGGGCGGGGGGTGGCTGCTCGATGACTCTCCAGTGTCCTCCACCCTTCCATCCTCAAGGGCCTCTTCACCTCCCTTCTCTGTCCAAGGCCCTGGCCTACCTCACCCGGCCGCATGGCTTCCCGTCCCCTGCCCAGCCACAGCAGCTGGGCAAGGGAGGTATGAACCTTTCCCTGACCGGAACCAAGAGAAGGTTTTCCTGGGAGTTCTCTGCTTTTAAGCCCCTGTGTTCTCAGAGGCGTATCCATGTCCTCGCTGGCCACACCAGGTGTTAATATTCAAATCTGAGCACCTATTGGTTTGACCACAGCATCCCAAAAAACCCACTTCTTCTCAAACCATAAACCCGCTTCTTCTCAAACCATGACACCAGGGTATCAGACCCAGTCAGCATGGGTTTACAAAGGGTAGGTCATGTCTGATCAACCTGGTGTCCTTCTGTGACCAGGTGACCCGCCTGGTGGATGCAGAAAGGCTGTGGATGTTGTGTATCTGGACTCCAGCAAAGCCTTTGGCACTGTCCCACAGCACACTCCTGGAGAAGCTGGCAGTCCATGGCTTGGACAGGAGCACTCTTTGATGGGCTAGGAACTGGCTGGATGGCTGGCCTAGAGAGGGATGGTGAACGGTGCTGCATCCAGCTGAGAGCCAATCACCAGTGGTGTCCCTCTGGGGTTTGTACTGGGATCAGTTCTATTTAATATTGTTATAGACGACACGGACGAGGGGATTTAATCTTTCATTAGTAAATTTGTACACGACACTAAGCTGGGAGCTTGTGTTGATGTATTGGAAGGAAGGATGGCTCTGCAGAGAGACTAAGATCGGTTGGATGGATGGGCAGAGTCCAACAGCATGAAGTTTAATAAGTCTAAGTGCCAAGTTCTACATTTTGGCCACAAAAATACCCTACAACATTACAAGCTGGGGACGGTGTGGCTGGACAGTGTTCAGGCGGAAAGGGACCTGGGAGTGCTGGTTGACAGCCAGTTGAATATGAGCCAGCAGTGTGCCTTGGTGGCTAGGAAGGCCAATGGCATCCTGGCCTGCATTAGGAATGGTGTGGTCTGAAGGAGCAGGAAGGTCATTCTTCCCCTGTACTTGGCACTGGTGAGACCAGGCATCCTGAGTACTGTGTCCAGTTCTGGGCCCCCAATTTAGGAAGGATGTTGAGATGCTTGAGCGTGTCCAGAGGAGGGCAACAAGGCTGGTGAGGGGCTTGGAACACAAGCCCTATGAGGAATGTTTGAAGGAGCTGGAGAAGAAGAGGCTTAGAGGTGACCTTATTGCTCTCTGCAACTTCCTGAAGGGAGCTTGTAGACAGGTGAGGATCGGTCTCTTCCACTGGGCAGCAACTGACAGAACAAGAGGACACAGTCTCAAGCTACGTCAGGAAAAGTATAGGCTGGATATTAGGAAAAAATTTTTCAGCGAAAGAAGTACTGGAATGCTCTTCCCAGGGAGGTGGTAGAATCACCATCTCTGGATGTGTTTAACAAAAGACTGGACGTGGCACTTGCTGCTATAGTTGAGGTGTTAGGGCATAGGTTGGACTTGATGATCTTAGAGATCTCTTCCAACCTCATTATTCTGTGACTCTGTGACCTGGGATCACCATGAGGAACCTGGAAGGAGCTAGGGCTGGAACTGGGCTGTACTGGGAGGCACTGGGACCACACCCACCTGGAAGTAGCGCCCCTGGTGGAGGCAGCCACAGGTCTGGGAGGATGCAGCGGCCCCGTGGAACAGCAGCCCCTCGGCGCACTGACACCCCTCACAGCAGCGCTCACTGCAGGGGGGTGGGGCCGACACACCTGCACAGGTGTGCTCACAGGTGCAGGCACACAGCTGGTAGTGGCTCTTGGTGGGGCAGGTGAGAGCTGGGAAAGGGAGGGAGGAAACAAAGGGGGTCAATGGGGAGCAGTGGGGCTACTGGGGGGTCATCTGGGGTCAATGGGTGTCTCCTGGGATCAATGCCATCCCATCTTTGGGGTGGGTGGTCCCAAGGGAAATCCATGAAAATACGAGATAAAAGAAAAAATGCAGAAAAAAGGGCAAAAGTGCAGAAGAATAGGGAAAACAGTGAACAAATTGCAAGGCAAAGGGACATACATGCATACCTTCCCTATAAATAAGGAAAAAAAGGAGAAATGCAGGAAAAAAATACATAAATGTAAAAAAATAGAGGGGAAATGCTGGGGAAAAGTATAAATATAAGAAAACTGAGAGAAAATGCAGAAAAAGAAATACAAATGCATAATACAGAGAAAAATACAGGCAAGAAAAATATGTAACTGCCTAAAAATAGGGGGAAGAAAGGAAATGCAGGGGAAATATGACATAAAAATAGGAGGATGGAAAGGCGAAAAATGCTAGGAAAAGGAGAAAGAAAAATAGGGAAAAATGCAAGAAGGTGTAAATGCATAGGAAATAGGGAAAATGGGGGGGAAATTAATTTTTAAAATGTAAATACATTTAGCCAAGAAAAATAAAGAAAACCCCATGGAAAAAGAGGCAAATGCAGAGGAATATGAGAGAAAGGAAAGCAGATGCAGGAAAAATATAGGTAAGGATATAAAAATAAAAGAAGGAAGAACAAGGAAAAATGAAACAAATCCATAAAAATAGGGGGGAAATGAAGGGAAAAAAGACACAAATTACTAAAAACAGGAAAAAAGGCCAGAAAAAGTACCTTATAGTATTCCCCATCCCAAAGCATCCACATTAATCTTAGGGAACGCATCTGTGTCCGTCACAGACAGAACCCTGGTGGCACTGGCAGCCCTCGATGCATGTTTGGGGGCAGGTTGTGGTATTTTGGGCACAGATGTTGGCACAGGTGTTGGTGCTAAGGGAGTAGGTGCTGTTGACTGGGCAGGTGAGGGCTGGAGTTTTCATGGAATCATGTATTGATTTGGGTTGGAAGGGACCTTAAAGCTCATCCCATCACCATCATCCCATGTCCTGCGTGTCACCACTGTCACCCAGACCCAAACAAGGAACATTCCCCACCTGTGCGCCCCCCAAACTCCAGTATCACCTGGAGATCTTCCCAACTCCAAACAGGTGACATTTGCCCCTGTGCCCTCCCAAATTCACGGCAGAAGGATGATGTCCTCCAAGCCCCCACAGTGACTCTGGCACCTTGGCATGCAGTGACATAGCTCTGGATACTCTGGCACAGGACATGTGTGTCCCCTTCCCTCATACAGTGGTCATGGATGCAGGATTGGGAATATGGGATGGGGTCAATGATGCAATGGCAGGAGCCAAAGGGACCTTCAGGGGCCGTGAGGAGGCCACAGTAGCTGGGTTTTTGCAGGATTGCCACTTCTTCCTCTGTGCATGTGGGACACTCATCCTTGGGACTGGTGTTATCACAAGGTGTATCTGTTGTTTTCCATGTGGATCCAAAGGCTGTTGCATCTGGAGCCAGCTGGCCACTGGAAAGCTGGAAATCATCATTGCATTGGCCATTGTGGTTGCCACAGAAGCCACACAAGCACCCCATGTAGGTCTGGGGGACTGTGACCATCACGTGCTGGACGAGGTCATAGTGGACAATGAGGCTGAAGTCAGTGCGGAGCAGGACACCTGTCCCATGTGGGTAGACCTGGACCTGTCCCTCACTCAGGATGGTGGGGAGATAGTGACAGATGGAATCCACCTGGGATAGAGTAGGAAGAGTCCTCCAGCGAGGAGGTGGGACCAAAAATTTGGGGAAAACACCTTCCAAATAATATTCTGACAGATTTGTGGATCCCACTTGGAAGGAAAAGTTCAGATGAGAAAGGATTAGTCTTGGAGATAGGGTGAGGGCTCCCCTCACCAAGGAAACAGAGTTTCAGGGTTGATAGGAGCTAGAATGAAAAATTTAGGGAAAGCAGGTTCCAACCAAGGTTTTAATGCATTTACAGATCTTGCTTAGAAAGAAAAGTTGGACTGGAATTGGAGATAGGCTGAGGAGTGCCTTCCATCAAAGAAACTCAGTTTGGGGGGATCCCATGAGATTTGGAACATGAAGTGCCTTACCATGATGTCAGCCCATTTTCTGTGTTTCAAGGTCAAGGTGACCCCATAGACTTCCACAGACAATGCTTGGATCCTGGGGACCTTCCCCTTCTGCTGCTCCTCCTTCTAGATTGTGACAATAAATGATGTCACATTGTCACCTGTACTGTCACAGACATCTTTTCACTAAAAATCCCTTCTTTAGGATTTTTCCTTCTGAGAAGCTAAGAGGCCTGAGAGACAGAATGTAAACAATGGTTATCTGCTGCTGTGGAATGCAACAGGTCCACCTGTGATTGGCCCATCTTGGATGGTTATAATGAATGGCCAATCAAGGACCAGGCTATCTCAGACAGAGTCCAAGAGAGCTGCGTTTGTTATCATTTTTTTATTTTCTATTCTTTTCTATTCTATTCCCAGATGTTAGCATCTGGGAAAACCTGTCCTCCTTTTTCTTTTTAGTATAGTCATAATGTAATATATATATATATCATAAAATAATAAATCAAGCCTTCTGAACATGGAGTCAATATTCTCGTCTCTTCCCTCATCCAAGAATGCCTGTGAACACGGTCACACTGTACCGGTCTGGGTGAGGACATATGAGTAAGTACCAGCGATGTTGAAGGCCATCCCATCAAAGGTGACATAGGTGTGGTCCCTTGTGGCCACACAGGTGCTGGACACCTGCGAGGTACACTGGAAGACATCACTGACAACCTTCCCATGGCCAACATGACAGGAAGTATTTTGGCACTCCACAGTGCCACCAGAGAGGCACTGGCACATCTCCTGCTCTGTGGGGTAGAATGTCTCCCCCTCTTTGTAGTAGACTCCATGGTGGCTGCAGCTGCAGTGGGACATGGGCACACACTTGTCGACGCCATCCTGACACATGCAGCCCTCGTGGCACTGCCCTTGGCATGTGGCAGAGTCAGCGCCGCAGGTGTGCTGGCAGGTGTGCGAGCAGAGCTCATTGGAGCTGTTGGAAGGACAGGGAATATCTGCCAGGAGACAATGGGATTCATGAGGAACCAGGAAATTCCAAGCCAAATCCTGGAAGTTTCCTGGAATTCAAGTGCAAACTTCACCTAATACAGAGCTTTTTAGCCCATGGCAAACTTGATTTTCATCCCTGTGCACATGACAAGGGGCATCATCAAATGACAATCCAACGATTATCTGATGATGATCCAATGATCATCCATAAGGAATATGCCATCCCATTACAATAGGAATTCTTCCTCTAAACCACACGATTTCTCACATTTTTATGGCGAAAAATGAAATATTCACTCAAAGAATGGGATTGCTCCACACTGGGTCCTCAACTGACCTCCAGGCTGGATCCCTTTAACCCAATTCCACTATTTTTAGTACATTTTTTGGTGGTTCTCCCTCTAAATTATCCACTTTGTAGCCAACACCAGGAAATTGGAGATTTTGAGGGGGTAAGGTATTCCAGATGAGACAACTTCTTCCTTAGGAAGGGTTTATTTTGGGTGAATTATGGGATCAACCAAGACTTTGGGTGGGATTCCCATGCGCCTCCGGGTTGTTCATACATAGATTTGGAGCAGACTTGAGGATCCTTTGTATACTGCTGAAGGAAAAACCCTCCCATTGTCCCAATTTACAGTAGAAATTATCTGTCCTCCACCTCTCAATGGACACACCAGCAGCCTGGCATGTGGTGGCGTAGAGGGCAATGATTGGACACATCCCTTCTTCCTGATCAGGGAACAGGCAGGAGTCATGGATGCAGCTCTAGAAGTACTGATGGCCATCAACATGACCATGACATCCTCTAAAGAGTCCATCCACTTCCAAAATAATTTCACACCCCATCTCAGAGACTTCCTGCTGCAGCCAGGAAGGTGCAAGGGTGCTGGAACATTCCACTGTTGACCTCTCACCACATCCTGGGACATCTGTGACCTTCCAGCTGCTCCTGAAGGCATCTGGGTCTGACGTCACATGGTTGTTCCTCATCATCATGTCATTGCTTGCAGTGCCATTGTAGTTCCCACAGAGCCCACACAGGGCATTGGTGAAGCCACTAGCACCATGGTGGTGATGTGGCTGTACCAGTCATAGGTGACAACAAGGCCAAAATTGGTCACTTCCACCACGTCCTGCCCGTGACAATAGACAACAATCTTTCTTTCACTGTAGTGCTACGGGAGATTGACCAACTGCTCATCAGTCTGGGGAGAAAACCATAGAAATTGATCAAATTGGCAGACTGAGGGTAAACTATTTTCAACAGCCAGAGCAATCAAAAAGTGTCGATTTAATTAAATTTTGAATTGAATTAAATTTTTGATTGAATTAAATTTTGGATTTAAGAGAATGAGAAGGACCAAGTCCCAAAAGGAGGTTGATCAACCACTCATTGATCTGGAACAAATGATGTTGATTTCATGACATTTCAGATGTTCATGGGATGAGGTGGAGAATGTGATGAAAAGATAAGGGATCATTTCCTAAACTCACCATGATTTTTCCAGCATGTTCCCTGCTGATGCTGATGGTTTTCTTGTAGACTTTGACTGTCACCACGGCAATGGACGACACGAGGTTGTCACTAAGGTGGCCATTCTGCACCAACACCTGGCATCCCACCAAATTTTGGGTGTCCTCAGACAACCCTACCAACACGTAAGACACACATCCCCTGGAAGATGAATGCCTTGCCATCAAAGGTCTCATAATGGGTGGCTCCGACAGCAGTGCAGACCCCAAAAATTTTGGGATAACAATCCTGGATATCCTCCTCCATCTGGCATCCCTCTTCAGTGCCACAACCAGAATCCCAGCACACTGTCTGCCGCTGCTCTGCGTCACACACACAGTGTTGGATGCAAGGGAGGTCACTCCAAAATTCCTTGCCAAGGTCATAGAAGAAACCCTGAAAGACACAACCACATTCAGAAGGGGCGATTCAGGTGTCGGCATCAAGGACAAGGCCCTCGTGGCACATGGAGGTGTCCACGCAGGTGCTGACAGCGGCACAGCTGGATGACACAGCAGGGATGTTGCAGGTAGGGAGGCAGGCAAGGCCTCAGGTGCTGTAGGGCGGGCAAATGAGAGCTGGACAGGGAGGGAGACAGCGGTCAAGGTGGGGCAGTACATAGTGGGACAGACTACTTTGACTATCTGCACAGATACCCTGCAGATTCCATGGATTTTATGTAGTCTCCATGGACCTTCTAGGCCTTCTACCTGGACTTTCTGGAGTCTCGGCAGACTTCCTGCTCAGACTTTCTAGAGACTCCACCAACTTTGTGGACTTTCTACATGGACTTTCTGGAATCTCCTTGGAGTTCCATGGATTTCCTGCTTGGATCTTCTGCCATGGTCTTTCTCAACCCATGATCCCATGGGTCTTTAGTCCCACATCAATTAGCCTCCACCCACCCCAAGGAGTATTTTCACTCAACCATCCTCTATTCACAACATTCCAACTCTTTCCTCCAATGGGAAACATTGATCCTCTTCTCCTGGCAGTCATCAGCATAGTTCTTGAAGGCATAGCACAGCACATTGCGATGCCCCTCATTGGCACACAGGTCATAGATACAGTTCTTCACATAGATATTGGGACTGATAGTGTCATGACACGACTGGAATGGCCCAGAATGTTGGGACAACTTCCCACACCAGGTCTCTGCCTTGTATGTCACCACCTGGTCCCATCTGCACCGCCCACAGTCACCATCACAGGTGTCCTGGCAGTGGCCACTCTCACTGGTCGCCTTCCAGCTCCACCCAAACTCCACAGTATCTCACATTTGTTTTCCATCAGGAGAGAGAGTGTCATCTTGGGGATCCCCATTGTTTTTCCCACACATTTCGCAGACTTTTCTAGAAAGAGCAGCCGGAAGTTTGATCACTACACGATCATCCCAGCTGTAGAGGACCTTCAGCTTGAAATTTGATTGAATCAACATGGATTTACCCTTCTGGTGGATGCAGACCTTCCTGTGGCAGAGGAAAATGGGGAGGCACAAGCGGTGGTTGCTCACCTGTAGGACAACAACCATCAAAACAACCAAAATCCATCAAAACTGGGCATGGAGTTCAAGAAGACTAGAAGTGTTTTCATACAAGGGTTACCTGCATACCAGCAAATCTGGGAATTATTTAGGAAAAGACCCTCAAGATCATTGCTAAATATGTAATTTCAGCAAAATTTTAAAAAACTGGGAAATTATGATGGTTTTTGCTTACCCTCACCATACCATTCTCTGACTGGACAGCAGTGACAGTGACGTTGTTGACTTGGATGGTGATGGAGCCAATGGAGGAAACTTTGGAGTTCTCCTTTTTCCTCCTTTTTGACCTCAACAGAGGAAGTAGGAAGGGTGGGATCAGGATTGCAGATGGTGGTCATGGTGTAGGCCCGCGATCCCATGAAATCAAAGGTTTTTCATCAAAACTGCAGTAGTGTGGCCCACCAGTGAGCCAACAGGTGGAGAAAGTCTCCTGGATGCACTCTGGTTGTCCATCCACCATCTCACACCTCTCGCATACCAAATCCTCACAGGAGACTGCTGTGGGGACTGAAAAAGAGGGGAAAACCCATGAATGGTCAACTGCACAACACTCAACCATTGGGGTGACACAACAATTGACTCACTTTACTCACTGGCAGCACAGAGCCCCAGGAAACCATATCCAGTGTGAGTCTGGAACCCAGACACCAGGAGCCCAATGGGCACCTACGAGTTCTCAGCACTCTGCATCATTGCACTCATGGTGATGCTGGCCCAGGAGAAATCTGTGCCAGGAATGGCCTGCCATGCCACTGTGTTGTCTGGCCAATGGTTGAGGGTGGTGGTGGCAGTGGTAGTGGTGGGTGCAATGAGGATGGCATGGCTATACTGGCTGGGCACACTGCTAAAGCGGAATGCAGTGCAATGGGCGGTGACAGGTGGGACAAGAAGGAGGAAGGGATCTTGCCAAGATGACCCACTGAAGAAGAACACCAACTGCACTGCCACCACTGCACTGATCTACAGGTGGGAGTTATGGTTCACTGTTGACGATTTTTGCAGGTTGAGGAGTTTTTGCAAGACAATGGCCACGTTCAGCCAATGCACAATCGAGCCTGCTTGTAATAATGGACAATGGACACGTTCACAAACAATGGATAATGGACATATTCAGAAATGGGGTCGGTATGTCCTTGAAAAAGATACAAGAAGAAGAGTCATCAGGACTCAGCAAGTTTGTCAGCAAGCTTGAGAAAGGGAGAAAAAAGAGACAGACAACCACAGCAAGACGTGTGAAAAATTAGATGATCCAATCAGACAACCACAGCAAGACGTGTGAAAAATTAGATGATCCAATCAGCATTCCATTTTAGATACGTGAACAGCTAGGATTAACCAATCATGTATTAGCTATACATGATTGTGGGTGGGCCAGACAACCACAGCAAGATGTGTGAAAAATTAGATGATCCAATCAGCATTCCATTTTAGATACGTGAACAGCTAGGATTAACCAATCATGTATTAGCTATAGACACGTGAACAGTAGAAACTTATTATAAATATAGTCCTTTTAGGGATAATAAATTTGGCTTCACTGGATCATATTGGTTATGGCGTGATGTCCCTGAACCTCTGCACCCCACAGTTCACCACGAATGTCTGCACCTCCCTTGTTGCCATGGCCACAGTGGCATTCCTGCTCCCAGTATTGTAGTTGACGGTGTTGTCTTCATCCGTCACCACATAAACAAAATCAGCCTCTGTCTGCAGTGGGTTGGGTGGCACCACGTAGCTCCTCCCCCACACTGTCATTGGGAGGAACTGCTCCACCACAAAGTCAAATCCAGCAGATACCTTGACACAGGTGTGGCCACTGAGGACGACCACAGGGGTGTCGGCCACCACAACTGTGCCAGTGAAGTCCTGGCTGCTCTGGAGCTGCAGGCTGTGGTAGGGCTGCAGGAATAGGCGGAGCACGGCAACGGGGATGTATGTGGCCCCAGCAAAGTGGAAAGTGGTGCTGGTGCTGATGCTAAGAGTGATGGTGGTGGGGTCAGTGGCCACCATAAACTCAGTCAGGCCGCAAGTTTAGTTCCCAACCGGTGTCACCACATAGTACCTGATGCCCAGGCTCTCCATAGGTAGGAAGGCAATGGCATCCACAGTGTAGCCATTGGTACTGACAGACGTCACAGAGATGTCAGCACTGGCCTCAATCACCAAGGTTTTATGGGAAGTGTGGCTTCCAGTGAGTTCCAGGGTAGCAGGAAAGGGCAAGGGCACAGTGACATCTGGTCTCAGGGTGGTGTTCTGGGTGATGGAGCTGCCACAGAGCATCCCCGACACCTGGGTGTCAGCAGGGCCATAGAAGGCGAGCAGCAGCTGCAGGTACGTGCTGGGGGACTCGTTGTCGTTCTGTGGGATCACAGCATGGAACTCCCAGCCCCGGTAGCTGGCACTGGAGAGTGCTGGGAAAACAGGGGGAAAAGAGGGCCTTGGTTAATTTTTATATTAACCAAGGGGGTTATACAAAGGGGGCTTTTAGATTTTTATATCAATTTTTTTAGGTCAATTCTATATGTGTTTATACATCAATTTTCCTATTTTACAGGAGGAATTGTACTGAAATTACATTAAAGATATGACTGCACTATCCAATTTATAGAGTCTATTTTTATATATTGTCAAAATAGAAATTCTATTTGCAGTTTGTTATTTTAATAAACAATATTTGTCTTCTATTAACAAATTATTAAAATATATCAATGTGTTAATAATATGAAATAATGTATTATTAACTAATACTAATTATATAAAATACTATTCCTTAATACAACAATATTACTAGATATTTATATTATTATACCCTGTGTTCATTATATATTAATGGTATCATGTAATATAATTTAGTATATTACTACTTACTAGCACATTGATAAAATATTAATAATATAGGGCTAATATATCAGTAAAAATATGCCAATCACATTTTAGCCTGTTATTGTAGTATTATACTTGTTATCCATCATATAACTTAGTTATATAGTTTTCTATGTTATTATTATAGAGATCTATTAATTATAACACTGTGATATACAATACTTACATTTAAATACATAGAAGTACTTTTTCTATTATTTTGTACTTAATTTTGATAGAAATATCAGCAAAGATTTATTCCAAAACCATAAATATTAAAAATAATTAAAGTAATATAATAATAAATGATGTAGCTATTGAACTTATTTCCGTATTAATCAAAGTAGAAAATAAATTAACGTATTTTTATAAATCTATACATCAGTAGATGATTTATATTTTCTCTACAAAATTATACAGATAACGATTTAAAATAATTTTATTGATTGTTTTCATAGAAACGGTTTGGGAAGAAATGGCAAAAATCAAGCAAAAATAAGCAATGAGGAGCACAATTACAAAGTTAGAGAGTATACTAGAGACTAGAATAGAATTAATATACCATTATATTATACTATATTGCAATATAATCTATCATTATATGTAATTAATATAACAATTATGATAGTGGATAGGACATTCTAACACAAAATATTATATATATATACATAAATTGCATAGTTATAATACATTATAATATATAATAACATAATTCATATAATATTATGCAACTTCATGCCATATTACATTGTAAATTATTCTTTAATTGCATTATGTAATTACATTTATAGTAATTTATATATATTCTATAGTTTATAATTATCTCTTAATAACTAGATATAGTTATATATAATAGGAATATAGTGCTATATTAATAAATGCACTATTATATGAATAGAAAATATATTACATGTTTTTATAGTTCACATCTTTTGTATGTCCATATAACTTTTAATTTATTATTATTATTATTATTATTATTATTATTATTATTATTATTATTATTATTATTATTATTATTTACTGATTTTTCACAGAAATTTTTATTAAAAATGCAAATCAAGAATAATGATAATACCAACATAATTACAGCAGAGTAGATCATATGTTGAATTTTCTATATAATTACAGTGGAGACTATATTATACATTCATATGGAACAACTGTAGTGGATGTATATTATTAATTTAACCACAACATATAAAAATATAAAAATGTATTAATAAGCAATTATTGTCCTATTAATCAATATTATGCTATTAAGTTACACTATTAAATATTATTATTAGGCAATTAAAATTGTACATATTTGGTATAAGATAAAATGTATATAGAAAAATATATAAAATATCCAGAAATATGTAAAAGGAAAACTAAACAAAAAATATTGTAAAAAGATCAAAAATATTTTCAGAGTTTTTTTTAATGCTACAAAAAAACCAAAATGGCTGTTTTTTGCCTCAAAAGAGGTTAAAAAGAATGGGTATCTTCTCCTAATAAAAAGAAAAAAACCAAAAAAAGAAAAAAAGAATTTTTGAGATTGTCAGGGAAAAAAAAAACAGGAAAATGAGATAAAAATTTATTAAAACTCGGTGTATATATAAAAGCCCATCATAAGAGGTTTTTTAATTTAAAAAATAGGGAATTGAGGATGGTAGATTAAAAAAAATTCTGGTGATTTTTTCTGAAAAAAATTGAAATCAAGTGTTTTGGGGGGAAAATAGGGAATAATGAGGTTTGACTATCAATAAAAATAGGATTAAAGGGGCCTTTCTGAAATAATATATGAAAACTATTTGCTTTTTTTAAAAAAGGGGATTTTGAAGAAAAATCAAGAGGGACGTGAGCAATTGGGATTTTAAGAATTACAACAGAGTGAGTTTTTTTTCTTTAAAAATAGCTGAAACTTAAAACAGAATTCAAGAGGGCTTTTTTCCTTAATGAATAAATTTTTAAAAGAAAACTAAATAAAAAAAAAAGAAGAAACAAGAAAATATTAAGGGAATATAAAGGGTTTTTTTTAATTTAAAACACTATCTAAAAAATTGGGCTGATAATTTTCTCAATGAAAATTAGAAAAAAGCCAGGAAAATAAGGAATAAAAGGGTTTTTTTATTTTTCCTTAAGAATCAACTGCTTTTATTAAAAAAGAGCAAATAAAAGGACTTTGTTTTTTCATTTATAAAAACCTTTTAAAAATAGATCTTTTTTCCCTGGGAAAAAAATACAATTCCAGCATATAGATCTTGCGGTTTTGTCCTGGTAAAACACTAAAACTGAACATTAGAATTTTAGCTAAAAACAAAAAAAAACCAAAGAAAAACCCCACCAAAAAAACAAACCAAAAAGTAAACAAAAATACTCAGGACAAAGTGCACTTTTTTTCCCATGAAAATTAATCAGGCATTAATTTTCTTTTCAAAAAGAAGAAGATTATAAAGGCTTTTGGATTAAAAAAATATTTCAAAATGGGATTTTTGGTTAAACATAATAAATCTGTTGCTGAGAGGTTGTTGGAAAAATGCAGAATGGGGGAAGAACAGAATTTTCAGGCAAAAACAAGCCCAGGGGTTCAGGATTTCATCTTCTGTGCTAAAAAGTCTGGAAATGAGTAAAAAATCCAAGAAATTTGGGGATTTTTCATGGAAAACAGGAATTTTATTTACCACAGAAGGGAAGGAGGAGCCATCAGATCCCGTCTTGTGCCACCCCTGTAAAAAAACACCAAAAACCACTAAAACCTGTTCTTTTGTGGGAAAAATCCATGTGAGCCCTGAGGCTCCAGAAGCCTCAAGTCACCCCCCAAATCACCCCAAAATGTCTTTTAATACCCTAAAATACCTTTTTTCACCCCACAGAAACCTCCTGGGACTTACTTTGGCCCCCACTGCCCCCAAGTCCACACCAAACATGCCAAACTCTAAAAAGTTTGTACAAAATTCCCCAAGTTTGGATCAAAATTGTTTTTCTTCCCAAATTCTCCCACTTTGGGTCAAAGTATTTTTTCTCCCAATCCCCCCCTTTCGGTCAAAATGGAATTAAACAGGGATTAAATATCCCTCCCCCCATTCTGCTCCCCACCTTGAGGCCACATCAGATTCTCCATCTATATCAGATTCACTCCAAAACCAGATGAATTTTAACTAAAATCACCTGGATTAATGTCAAAATGCTGACACAGCCCTCCCACCAACCCCTGATGCCCACTCCGTACCCCATTTCCACCAAATCCACACTAAAATTTCATGGAAAGGATGAATTTTTCCCCAATTCTCCCCACCCAGTTTTGGTATATGGATATTTTTTTTTGCCCAACATCCTCCAAATTTGGATCAAAATGGGGCTCAACATCCAGGAAAACTCTTCACTCACCTTGTCCCACACAAACCCTCCCAAATGCTCAATTTGGCCTGAAAAAGGGGAAGAGAAAACCCACCAAATTTTGGACATGAAGAGGGAAAAAAAATCTGAAATTTGGAAGAAAAGTGCACAAAAAGGGCAAACCCCTGAGATTTGGGGGGGAATGGGCAATTTTATTTTTTGTTTAATGTGGAAAAAAGTGTTTGAAACCCAACATTTTAGAAGAAAAATGATGGAACTTTTGGGGAAAAGAGAGAAAATGGTCCTAAAATTGGGGAAGGGAAAGGGTAAAAAAATCTGAAATTTGGGCAGAAAAAATCCTCAATTTCTGCCTGTCACTAAACAATAAGGAAAACCAGGAATAAACAGGGAATGAAGCCTCCCCACTCTTCCCTACTCACTGGCCCCTTGGCTCTTGAATTCCTGGGTTTCTGCAGACACACAGTGTTCCAAAGCCACTCCTTTTATACCCAAATAAAAAATACTCAAGTCACAGCCAAACCATGCAGATTTGGGCAGATTCAGCAGAATTTCAGGATGGGGACAAGGGGCATGACCCACAGTTCCAGAGAATTTGGGAGCTGGCAGCTGGATCCTGTCACAGATGGGAAATGATGGGAGTGGAACCCTCAGGACATTTGATACATGTGAGTGACAGGGATGTCGTGAGAGGTGTGGGACCCACAGCAATTATCCCAAATTCCCTGAACTCCCAGAATCACTGTCCCCATGGTAGCCTCTGCCCCACAACACCAGGGAAAGGACAGACCAAATCCAGACGTTTTTTACCCAAAATTAATGACCCAAGTCCCAGCAAGGAATTCCAGGGTATGGGAAATTCTGGCCCAAATGACTGAAAAAGCTGAAGAAAACCACCTGGAGTCAGGAGAGATGATGGCAAACAGGGAATTAAAGGGCTTTTGCCTTAAAATGAAGACATAAAAATGGGGAAAACCTGAACCCCACAGAGACGCTCAAAACTGTCCAGAGACAGAGACTCCACCCTCAAAGCCACCCAGGGACCCCCAAAACTACATGGGGATCCCCCAAAACTACGCAGGGATCCCCTCAGCCCTCTGAACCTCCCAAACCACAAGGTCCCTGGAGGGCCGTGGGGGTCCCTGGAAGGGTTTTGGGGCTCCTGACAAGTGACATGGAGAAGAGAAATTTTCAGCTGCCCTGAAGGTGCTGGATGGAGCTTAAAGACTAACAGGCAAGGATGTAAAGGTATGTACAGAGCATCACAAGCACTGGAGCCAGTGGACAAATAGGTAATGAGGAATATAGTGGGGCTTTTATCAAGTTACGTAACTGGACATGCCCAAGGAAAACGTTCAAGGAAAGGTCACGTGTAATATGGAAGCATTCTGTGAATATGACCACCAGAGACCTGTTCGTGGTCCCTCCAGGACCATACCCTGTGGCAAAGTTTCACCGCACACATCAGATTAAAGGAGAAATCCTTCATTGTGTTCTGTACAGATAAAGAACGCCTGCTTTCTAATGCTTCAAATTGTGCTAGAAAGTGTATTTGCCAGCCAGTTTTGGTATCATTCCCTTGCACGGGCTTACGGATCTAAGGTGAGCTGAGAGAGTCCTGCCGGGCTTTAGGAGGGTTTGGAGTTCCTAGGGGAGATTTGGGGGGTCCATGGGGAGACTGGGGGTCTCTTGTCAGCGGGATCCCAGCTCTCTGCCACTTTAACCAACCCGAGGGCCTCCCAAACCACACTGGGACCCCCTCGACCCTCCTGCACAGCCAAGTCCTTTCTAGGACACCCAGAACCACACCAGCCTCCCTCCACCCCAAACCTTTCCCTGGGAATCCCAAACAACCTCTCTGAGACCCTCAAAACCACCCCACTGACCCCCAGAACTCCCTGGGCATCTCTCAACATCCCCAGACCCGGAAACCCCTCCAGGAACCCCCATTTATACTCCAAGGCCTCCCTCGGCGCCTCCAGAGCCCCCCAAACCCCTCCGCGCATGCCCAAAGCCTCCCACGGACCCCTCCCCTGCCCCGCCGCGCTCGGCGGCGCCGCCGCTTCCTGCCTTCCCCCTCCCCCGCCTCCCATTGGCCGCAGCGCCCGCCCGTCCCCGCCCTGAACCAATCAGCGCCCGAGCTTGGAGCGCTGGGGGAAACCAAACGAGAGCGCGGGCGATGGAGCGGGTGAGGCCTGAGGGCTCCAGAGGGGACCGAGGGGGGAATTTGGGGGCTCAGGAGGGCTCCGCGTCACTTCCCGCATTCCTCCCGCAGAAGCTCAGCCTGGAGCAGCGAACGGAGCGTCTGGTGCAAAGGAGGTGGGAAAGCAGCCCGGCCTCAAGTGCCCCTCGGGATCCCCAAGTGCCCCCTAGAGGCCCCAGTCTGCTTCCCCGTTCCCTCAGTGTTGTCCCGGAATCCAAGTGCTCCCCAGACCCCCAAATGCCGCCTCAGACCTCTAAGCGCCTGCTAATTCCCTCCCTTGCCCCGGTGATCCCCCAGGAACGCCTCGGGGTCCCCCAGTTACCCCACCCGAGCCCAGGTGATGCCCCAGACCCCCCATTATGCCCATAAGTGCATCCCGCAGCCCCTCAAAGTCCGCCCGAGACCATCAGTCCCGCCGGGTCAGTGCAGGGTGAGCATTTCGGGGGTCCTCGCCCCTCCCCAACCTTCTCCTCCCCTCACCAGCCAGGCCCTGCTAAAGCTCCGCCCCTGCGGGCCGGAAGGGGCGAAGCCTCTGCTTGGCTCCCCTGCCTGCAGCTCCACGCTCGATGACCCCCTCGTCGAATGGCGCTTGAGGCGGTGCCGAGGGGAGGAGCCAGCTCTGGACACGCCCCTGGTGGGCAGGGCCCTGCTGGGCTCTGCTGCTGCCCGGGGGTCCCTGCAGGGAGAGCCACCCGGGAGGTCACGTGACCCACCTGAGGCGCCATGGCCATTTGGGAGACACTTCTGCAAGCACCAGGGGGCGTCTTCACCCCAGGCTCTCTCCCAGGAACCCTTGAGGCAGGATCCATGTTGGAGGCCACCTGACTCCTGCAAGACGGTCTGGCCAACGAGGAGCAGCTCTCTGGATACCCTACAGGGGGCACTATACTCACAGTCACGTGGCTCCCACCATGCCCCGCGGCAAATCAGCAGCAGCTGCTGTGCACCTCTGCACCAGGGGGCACCACCCGGTGGGAAACGAGACTCCCATGAGCCTTTGCTGCAGGAGCCATTTGGGGGGGCACATGACTGCCTCGGCGCTCTGTGGTGTGCCCTATGTTGGAAGTCACGCGGCTCTCAGGATGCCCTGTGGCCTGCAAGGGAGGCGCTTCCTCAGCCCCCACGCCAGGGAGGGCCCGGCTTGAGGTCACTTGACCCCCGTGAGGCCCCACAGCCAATCCGGAGCAGTGCATGTGATGCCCTAAAGGGGGCGCCATGGCAGCAGCCACTGGGTGAGGCACCAGAGGGGCCTTTGAGGGTCATGGGGGTCACTTAAAGGGTGGGAGCTTTTGAGGATCATAAGGCACCTTTGTGGGGCTGGGGGGCATTTGTGGGTCAGAGGGGTCACTGGTGGGCCTGGATGCGCCCTTTGGGGCCAGGGGGTCACTGGTGGGGCTAGAGATTCCCCTGTAGGGTTAAGGTGGTCATTTGTGGGCCAGGGGCAGTCACTCGTGGGGCAGGGGTTGCAATTGTGGGTCAGGGGACACTTGAGGGCCTGAGGGGCACTTGTGGGTTGGGGAGACACTTCTGGCTCAGGAAGTCCCTTGTGGGGCTGGGGGAACACTTGTGGGACTGCCACCCCCTCTGACACGCAGCCCCCCCTAGGCCCTCTTGGGGACCCCCTCCTCTGGATGCTGCGATGCCACCGCCGGGCCGTAAGGGGACACCTTCGGTAGGACATCCCTGCCCCCAAATTTCAGGGCTCTGCTCCTGTGCCTCCCTCGGGTCCTCCTAACTCCCCATTTGCTCTCCTTCTCCCCCCAGGGCCATTGAGACCCTCCTGGAATGCCCACCTGAGCACCCCCAACCCATGGTGGGGCCAATAAAACAATGACACCTCAAGATTGTACCAGGGAGCTGGGGAGACTCCCAAAACTCCCTCCCTTACCTCCCCCACCTTTGGGACTGCCCCAAATCCCCTCTCCCCCCAAATGTCCCCAAGAGCATTTGGAGGGTTCTGGGGGCTCCAAAGCGGCTGTTGGTGGGGTGCTGGGTGTCTCTAGGGTGTCCGTGAGGGTCTGTGGGGTGTTTGGAGGGGCTCTGAGGCTGAGGAAGGGATTTGGGGGTTTATCAGGAGCACTGGGAATCAGGAGGGGTTGGGAGGGCACTGGGTGTCTTTAGGGCGTCTAGAAGCGGTCTATGGGATTTTTGGGGGAGACTCTAGGAGTGCTGGGGAAAAATCTGTGAAAGGTATTGGGGGTCCAGGAAGGGGTTTGGGGGGACGCTTGGGCTTTGGGGCATCTTTAACGGTCCGGGGTCTGTGGGATGTTTTGGGGTTCCCGGGACAGTGTTGGGGGGTCTGTGGGGACTAGGAAGTCTATAGGGGCGCCTGGGAGCTTATTGGGCGCATCGGGGCGGGGAACCCCCAAACCCGTGGGAGTGGGGCTCACCTGTCTTCTTCACCTTCACACGGCCGACGTGGCGCCGGGAGGTTCTGGTGTCCCTCCGCCGCTGAGGGGGTCATGGGGGTCACAAGCTCCCTCTGAGCCCCCAAAAATCCCTCGTGCCCCCCACCTCCCATTGGCCGCTGGTTCCGCGCCAGTTTACTCACTTCCTGGACTACAACTCCCGAAAGACCGCGGGGCTCCGTAGGACGCCGATAGAGCTGGGACTGTGGTTCCCGTCATGCCCCGCAGCCCATGAGAGGCCTGTTAGCGCCGGGACTGTCCCCTAAGTACCGTCCCAGCTGCTCTCCAGGTGCTTCCCTGAACCGTAAGTGCGCCCCGGGGCCCCGTAAGTACCCCTAAGTTTCCCTCTCCTGATCCCCAAGTGCCCCTCCGGGTCCCGAAGTCCGCCCGTCCCCTACTTGCCCCCAAAATGCCCCCTGTGTGTTCCCTCGGACCCCCAGGTGCTCTCCAGCTGCCTCTCCAGAGCCTTTAACGATCCCGCAAGCACCCCCAGCTGGCCTCCATGCGCCCCTCGAGTGTCTCCTGGGAATTGGCGTGATGACGACAATGTAGAGAAAGACCCTGACCCTGTTGCAGTATCAGCACCAGTTCAGCCTTTAATTAAAATTTGAATCAAAACTGTAATTGCCTATGTGGGGGATGGACAGGGCCCCCAACTTTTTCGTGCCACTCCCGTGGTCCCTCTTGGAGCCAGGGAAATTGCAGGAAAAACATTCCTGCATGTTGCGTGCATCAAAATTTCATGGTAATCGGGAACAGGGTCTGTGTGGTGAGCTTCCCTGACAGGCGCAGATAAATCCTGTCAGATGAAGAATAGGTTGAGAGGACTTTGGGGCCCTGGCGTATACACTTCTGTAGCCCGTCCCAAAACCCCAGAGACCTCCTCCATCCCCTACAGACTCCCCGGTAGATCCCAAATACCCTCAGAATCCCCTCAAAATGCTCCATAGCTCTCCCTCCCCAAACACCCTATGAACCCTCAGAACCCTCCCAAACTTCCGGAGGCTCTCTAAAATAACCCATAGATCTGCCCACTCCCCCACACCCCCTAAAAGGGACTACCCCAGGGCCTCAACTAGTCACAGACTGCCTGAGCCACTTTTTGGGCTGATATGTATGTAGGTATAAATCTAATAGAGATATAAAATATAATATAAAAAGGGGCCTCCAGGAGAGCTGTGGAGGGTCTTTTTCAGGGGACAGGATGGAGGGTGAGGGTTTTCACCTGCCAGAGGGCAGGGTTATATGAGATACTGGGACAAACTTCCTCCCTGTGAGGGTGGTGAGACCCTGGCACAGATTGTCCAGAGAAGCTGCAGCTGCTCCATCCCTGGAAGTGTCCAAGGCCAGGTTGGACAGGGCTTGGAGCAACCTGGGATTGTGGAAGATGCCCTGCCCATGGCAGGGGGTGGATCGAGATGACCTTTGAAGTCCCTTCCAACCCAAACCAGCCTGGGATTCTGAAAGTGGGGGAGGTTTGGGATGGGCGACCTTGGCTGACCCCAGGTGCTCCCCCAGGCTGCTCTGTCACTCAGGCTTCAGGGAGAGACAGCAAGAGAAAACCTGATGAGAAAGCTCCTGGGGGAGTTGGGTTGGGGGGGTGTGAGCCCCTCAGGAAGTGTTTCAGGTCCCTTTCCATGGGCTGAGTCCTTCAGATGGAGGCATTTCGGACATGGAGGCAACACCTACCTCACTCTGTTCTTCTCCAGGGCTACAGGGGAGTGTCTGCTCTGGCACCTGCAGCACCTCCTCACCTGGGGAGCTGCTCAAGGAAGAAGGACAACAGCAGTGAAAGGGACTTGGGATCAAAGGAGGCATCAGCAGAGCGAGAAACATTTCCCAAGTTCTAGCTGGTTTCAGGTGAACTCAAATGGGAGATTAGGTGCGTTTGATTTGAACCAGAAAGTGAATGTAAGAATAAATAGTGGATTTACTCCTCTGTCAGGGAATTCTCTGGAACATGGATTTCCTTCTTCAAAATGTTTTACTTTGCATAATTTGTCTGGGCTGTGTTACGCAAGAGGTCATTGTTCCACCTTGTATAATTCAAGAGATTATGATGGTGCTGCTTATTAATCTCCTTTGCAACACATCTGCAAGGCAGATACTTTGCTCGCAAGACTTTAACTTGTGCAGAATTTACCCTTCCCTTGCTGGGCTACTCCCAGTGAACATCACCAAATCCCACAAGACCAGAGTCTTGACTGCACCAAAATAAAATTAAACTGTGAATGTTATTTTTCTCAAGGATTTTAAGATTTATAAATCCCATGTTCTGGAGTGATATGAGGTGTGGCAGGCAAGACCTAAAGGGTTTAGAGATAAAATCAGCATTTTTCATATGTTTTTTATGAAAAATAAAATATTTTCACTCAGACATGGCAGGTTCTCCCTGCTGCTGCAGGGTTTGGGGAGGGAATCTGGGGACATCCAGCAGGTCCTGGCACCTCATTTTTCTTTAAGTGAGGATTCCTAAAAGGCAAAGGAAAAGGATCAGGAAACTTTAGAAGTTGAGGAAAACTACCCAAAATGTGGTTGCTGAGGCTCTTGCCTGTGTTTAGGGCAGTGAAATAATAGTTGGGTGTGGAAGGGCCTCTGGAGTTCGACTGGTCTGGCATAATCTCCTCACTTCAGAATGTTTGGGGTTTGGCAGGTGGAGCCTAATTGGTGTCCCTGAAGGGATGGATGGAGTTTTCCCCAGGTTTGAGTTTGAAGGAAACAGAACTGTGAGTGTTGCATTGCTCTCAGCTGTTTTTTTGTCTCTCAGCCCTGTGGGATGTAGCAGGACAGGTGAGGTTCCTCCCTTCCCATCTCTCCCACCTGCTGAGTCCTTCTGAAGAGCTGCCAAGGGAGCCCAGACCCACTTCACTCCCCTCATCCATCCAGGAACAGTCTTGTCATGAAAGGCAGTTAGATCAGTTCTGTGATGTAATTTTATGGAGTCCAGTGGAGAACCTTCTCCCTGTCTTCCTCATTTTATGAGTTTATTGCATGTGCCTCTTCCTGCTTTATTCTCTGTTGCTCCGTCCTGCTCCCTGTGCTGTGAGTGTCAGGCAGGGGGGGAAGTTGGCAGGAGACAAAGACCACTCACTCCGATGTTCATTTGGCAACAGAGAGCTTTTATTTCCCAAGCCCTTGCTTATATAGGGCATTTGAAAAACCCAGTCTGGATACTTTTATAGGTCAGAACTCTATGCCCCTTCAGGTCCTGGCCAAGGAAATGCTTGCAGCCTTGGGAGAGACTGGGCAAGGCCCCTGTAAGTCAAACCAGGGGCTGGTTGGTTTGTCTATCACAAACAAGCTAATATAGGGTAAAAATGTGCCATCATTCTTCCCTGTGCCATCTCTCCTCTATGTATCCCTCTGTCCTATCATCCCTCCCTTTAACTGGCAGAACCTTCTTTCCCCCAAATCACCATATGCCATCATTACTTGTGAGTGGCTCCTGCTTTCACAGAATCACAAAATCAGTTTGGTTGGAAGGGAGCAGTGGGTCATCTGGTTCAATCTTCCTGGTTAGGCAGTATCATCCTGGGGCACATGGCACTGGATTGTGTCCAGACCTACAGTCCCCTATAGATCCAGATGAGGTTCAGTGTACACAAACCATGTGGTGGAAGTTCCTACTGAGGTGCCATCACAATATACCAACTCATTGGCGTTGGTGTCATGGAAAGGAGAACAAAGAGCGGATAATTTGGTTATCAAACTCTGGCAATATGAAGAAAGTATCTTTTTCACCCTATGGGCCTGCATCTCATCTGTGGAAAAGACCTCCAGCAACTGAAAGAAATGACCCATGCCCACTAGTACAGACCAGAGTCTATAAGGGACAAGTGCCCCCTGCTCAAGAGAGAGGGGCACACCACAAGGCAACCTGTGGTTTCACCTGTGTGACCATGGTGAAGACATATGGAAGTGAGATGGAAAACCCACCTCTGCCTTGGCAGCACAGGTATGTGAGTTGAGAGGAAAAATTAACCACCACAGAAAACTCTTCAAGGAAAAATGCCACTCATGTTCCACTGGGCAAGTCCTCAGGCAGAATTGAAGGGCTGATGTTACTTCTGACCCTCTGGAAGGGATCCCCAGGTCATATTTACAAGAAGTGAGCAACGAGTACCATGATCAGAGGGGCTCTGGCTCCAGCCAGCTGTGGGAAAAGGACAGTGGGGTCAGTTAGACTGTGTGGATCCAAGGCCTGGCACAGCAGAGCCACAGGAGCACAAGGCTTTAGCTGACATGGGTGCACAATGCACCCTGATGCCATCATGCAGGGGCAGAATCCACCTCTGTTTTTGGGATGACGGAGGATCCCAACAGGGACTATACTGGAAGCTGAAGTGCTCCTGACTGGGCATGAGTGGCAGAAAAATGCCATTGTCGCTGGTCTAGAGGGTCCATGTATCCTTGGCACAGATCACCTCAGGAGAGGTATTTCAAGGACCCAAAAGGACACCATTGAGCTTTGGGAGAGCTGCTGTGGAGACAGAAGAAATTCAGACAGCTGAATTCCTTGCTTGGTCTTTCAGAGGACCCTTCTGCTGTGGGACTGCTGAGGGATGAAGAACAGCAGGTACTGATGGCCAGCACAACAGTGTCCCATTGGCAACATGGCACCGACTGGGACTTCAGGACCCCATCCATGAGCTGATGATCTGTGAACTGGAGAGCTGGGCGTGCTCAGCAAGACTCGCTCACCCCTCAGTAGCCCCACATGACCCCTGCCTGAGTCCTGTGGAGAGTGGACACTGACAGTGGACTGTCATGGCCTGAATGAAGTTACACCATCACTGAGTGCTGCCATGCTGGACATGTTGGAACTTCAGTATGGGCTGGAGTCCAAGGCAGCAAAAGGGTGCCACCATAGACATTGCCAATGCATTCTTCTCCATTCCTCTGTCAGCGGATTCCCAGAGCTGGGGTCCCTCTTTGTGCCCCCAGCCCTGAAGCTGCCCCAAATAGGGCCTTAGCCCCCCTGTGGCCCCCTGCCCTCACAGGCGGGCTTTGTCACCACCTTGCTTAGTGCCACCATCAGCTCCAGAGGGGCCCTGGTGAGGGGGGAGCAGGGGCTGATGATGCAGCTCTGTGCCCAATCACATGGGGGGTTGTCCCACTTACAAGGGGGGGTCTCAGTCTTATGGGGAGGGGGATGTCCAGTCCAATGATGGGTCCCCCAGTCCCATGGGAGGGGGGATTGTGTATCCCAATCCCATGGGGAAGGTCTCAGTTCCAGGATGGTAAATCAGTTACATGTGAGTGTCTCAAGGCCATTAATGGGGGAGGGGGGAGTCCCAATCCCATACAGCCCAAATCCCTGGGTGGGGACTCATTCCATGAAGGGATATAGTGTCCCCTATCTCATTGGCAGGGTCCCAAAAATTAAGTGGAGGAAAGATGCTCTTGCCCCATCCTGTTTGCCACACTTTTGGGGTCCACCCCTGTATTCAGGGTCTTTCCCCTCTCTATTTTTTCTCTCCCAGAGGAACATGGTGCCACTAGAGTGATATCCCAGCTGGCCAGGAAGAGTCCAGGCACCTCCTGCCACAGGGCATGGACACTGGGGTATGGGGGATAGGGTGGGAACATGGGGGACACAAGGGAGACATGAGGACGTTGTGGGATACTGTCATGGTTTGACACTGGCACAATGCCAGTGCCCCCATGAAGATACCCTCTCCCTGGTTTCTGCTGTGAGATGTGACCAGGAATAAGCAAAGCAGGCTCCCACTTAGAAATAAAGAAAACAAAACTTTATTAACTACAACTATATATAAAAGGAACACACACAGGAAAATGAAAACCTTACAAATACACTTCCTCCTCCCCCCACCAAATTTCCAATACATCTATTCCCCAAATCACCAACTCTTGGTCCAGCACCACCCTTCAGACAATCAATCCTCAGTTCATCAAGAGGAGAGGAGTCCTTCTTGTACCATGGGCTTCCCCTGGAAACACAGTTGAAGCCTCGTGTGTTTCTGCGTCACTCGTGGCACCGCCCGGAGTACATCTGCCGTCGTGACCTCTTCCTTTCATGTCCAGTGCTCTCACCACTGAACACGGACCAGAGCTGCTTCTAGGGTTGTCTTTTTTAAGGATGCTTTGTCCCGATCCAAAAGGGCACAGTCTCTCCTTTGGGACACCTGTCCCCCCCATATTTCACTCCCTGGGGCCGAGGGGTACCAACACTGAACCCTCTTGGTTCTGAGGCATTGCCTCCCCCTAGATGCAGTCTCTGTGTCACAAGGAACATGGTTCTGTCCATGGCTGTACAAAAAGAGTCCAGCAAAAGCCACTCCATCATCTCTTCCCACTAAGATTCTTCTCTATTCTCCCAACATCTCTCACTTGCCCAGACCTCTCTCACACTTGCCCATTTCCTTCTTCATCTTCCACTCTATCTCTCTTCTAGGAAAGATTAATGTTCTGTAAAGTTTTCATTGTCCGAAAAGGGGTTAAAAGCTCCTACAAGCGGCCGGCTGCACCCCCCCTTCATCTCCTCAGCCATGCTGCCGGCACAGGCACACGTTTATCAAGTTTCAAGGTAACAGTCTCAGGCACCGTCTCTCTCTCTCTCTGTCTCCCAGGGGGAGGGGGGGCTGCCCGATGGCTCCCGGTCTCTCTCTCTCGCTCTTCCACCCTTCCACCCCTGGGGTCAGGCCTGCCTCTCCCGGCCACATGGCTTTTCCCCTCCCCCCACCCAGCCAGCAGGCTGGGGGAGAGACCCGAACTCTTTCCTGCCAGAAACCCAAGAGAGCCTCCCAGGGGAGAGCTCTGCTTTTAACCCCGTGTTCTCAGAGGCGGATCCATGTCCTAATGGCCAGATTAGATGCCAATATTAAAATCTGAACATCCATTGGCCTGACCACAGTATCCCAGAAAACACATTTCCTGTCAAACCACCACAGATACGTGGGGGGACAGGTGGGACATGAGGGACCCGGGGATCATCTGTGTACATGAGGGGGGGACATGGGGACACAGGGTAGCAATAAGGGTACTGTGTCCATGGGGAGGGGCAGTGTTAGAAATGGTGCAACTCCTAGAATTTTTAACTAACTTTAGTCAGGGGTTTTGTTCATCTTTGCTTAGAGAAAAAGGAATGGAAGTTTCTGTTCAAGAGACTCTGTTCCCTGGGCAAGGCCTGACGAGCTCGACATCTCAGTGGACCAGGAGTTGCCAGAGCATGCTCAAGAGAGAGAAGTGACCGTCAACACCTGAACTTCTTTCCTGGTGTGTCAGAGACACTTGGTCTGAGAAAAGATCAATAAGAGAATGAAGAATGAGGACCTAATTAGCATTGGAAGCAAAGGGATCAATAACCAATAGGAAACCAGGTACAAAGAACTGTTTAACTTGTGGCCAATGAACATTGAACCAATGCATTTTTCTGGGTTTTGACTGTGTAAGTATGTGAAAAATCTAATAAATAACCATGTGTGATGGAATGGTTTCCTCTGCACAACACAGGCAATGTGTGGATTAAATTATCTCTGTTGCACATTCTGGGCAGAACAACATCCTGGCGAGAATAAAGTAATGCCTTAATTCTCTTAAAGTAGAAACGTTGTTGGAGAGTTTTTATTTTTCTTGCAATTTGCATCAAAAAGGGAAAGCTGCTGTATTGAGTCCTACATTAGAACTTGTGGAAGTCACTGAAGGACAAGGTGGTTCCAGTCAGGTTACAGAGCATAAAGCTTAAAGCCATCCAGCTGGCTTTGGATATAGCTGAATGAGAGAAGCGGCCAACACTCTGCCTCTGCACTGACTCATGGATCATGGCAAATGCTCAGTAGGGTGGCTGGAATAATGGAAAAAGGGCAATTGGCAACACAAGGGAAACCCATCTGGGCCCCTGGACTGGGGCAAGACGTCACTGCCCAATGGATAAACCGATTGTGAAAGTCCCTCCTGTGGATGCTCAGGTGCCCAAGAGTCGGGCACTGAAGAGCATCACAACAATGGACAGGGGGATGGGGCTGCCAGGATTAAAGTGTCTCAGGGGAGTCTGGACTAGCCACACAAGGGTGAGTTATTTCTGGCTCAGTGGGCCCATGATGCCTCAGGTAGCCAGTGTTTCAGGGGCAGATGAGAGGTTGCCCAGGCAAGGTAAAGACCTTTCTGTCCTGGAACATTTTGTGTGGGAGCAATCCTTGGATGGATCCAAATTTTGAGCTTGGCACCAAATTTAGGAAGTTGGGCTCAGAAAGTGAATGAAAGCACATTTCCTTGGGAGGAGAAACACCTAGTCCTACTGTTGGTGCTGCAGATGATTGTCAGCCCAAGAAAGGAAAAGGCAAGCAAGACCTATCTCTCCAGGCACCTATTTTGTTGGAGAAATCCTTGGACATACTTATTAGTAGAGGTGGTTTCCAAATTCCTTAAATGTGTTCCTGAAAGGGAATGACACTTTTTTTTCTTGGAAAATAAATCACTAGTCACAGTGTTTTAGGATGAAAACATTTTGCTGGCCTTCACCTCCACCTGGCAGATGATCATCTGCACACCGTCAGTCGGACAAGGTGTTTCCCTTCACAAGAATAGGTACTGCCATTCACATTGAAGAACCTAGTTGCAGCATTTTGAGCTGAGTTCCAGTATTGAATACATCTCAGCTCTAGACATTGCTCTCACACCAAACAGACTAGGGCAGAAAAGTTATGCTGGAATTTTTCTCCCCTCTTCAGTTTTTAATCTGTGGTTAGCTGCTTTCTTTCCCATGTAAAAGCACTCTCATTCCATTTCAGGAATCAAACACACAATTTTGTAAATCACCTGCAATGTTGACTTTGTCCAAGGATTGCTCCCAAACAAAGGCTCCAGAACAGCAAGGTCTTGCTGGCATGTCTCTATAGCAGGCAGATGATTATCTGTAGCACCAGCATTAGGACTGGGAATTTCACTTTTCTAGGAAAAGTATTGTCATTCACTTTCAGGGCCTGGGTTCTGACATTTGGATTCAAGCTCTGATATTGAATGTCGAAGGATTCCTCCCACACAAAAAATGTAAGGACGGAAAACTGTTGCTGTCTTTTACCTTCACTTTGCAAAGGGGTGAAGGTAAAAGACTTTGCAGTCATCTGAACACCACCAGCAGGATTATGTGTTTGCCTTCCCAAGGAAAGGTATTGTCATTCATGTTCAGGAGCACAGTTGCAGCATTTGGAGCCGCATTCCAATATTGAATACTTCCACTGATTATCTAACACAAAATGATCCAGGGCAGAAACATCTTTGTGGCCTTTACCTCCCCTGGGAAGCATATCTGCACAAGAACAGTGGGTTATGTCCTTTCCTCCCCATGGAAAGTCACTTTATTCCTCTTCAAGAGTCCACCACCTTACTTTGGAGACAACTTTCCAATATTAAATATATCCAAGAATTACTCCCACACAATATGTGTCAGGTTAGAAAATTGTTGCTGGATTCTACCTCCCCTGGGGCATCATGTAATCTGCTCTTTGAACCCTGGGTCTAGGTGTTTTCCTTCCCCTATAAAAGTGCTTCAATCATCTTTAAGGAGCTCACCACTGAAATTTGGATACCACCTCCAGTACTGAAAACATCCAAGGATTGCTCCCACACAAAATGTGGACTAACAGGTCCTGCTGGCCTTTACCTCTAATGGACAGAGCTCCTGAAATAAAATGAATGTGCTTTACCATGGGAAGGAAAGCACATAGCCCCAGTGGTTTAGGTGCTGATTACAGGCTGCCCTAGGGGGGTAAAGATCAGCAACAGCTTTCTGATCTGGCAGCTTTTGTTATGACAGTCATCTTTGGGCATATATAATATCGGAGGTGGTATCCACTTTTGAATGATGGGCTTCTGGATGAGAATGAGAGTTCTTTTCTGTAGGAAGGAAAGCATGTTGCCCCAGTGTTTGCGGTGCTGATGAGAGGCTGCACAGGGGAGGTAAAGACCAGCCAAGACCTCTCTATCATGGCACCTTTTTGGTGGGAGCAATCCTTGGACATAATATTGGAAGTGTTATCTAATTTGGGTAATGGGTAAAATCCCTGGTCATATTCAATTAATTGCACTTACAGCTGAAAAGCATGTGTGATGTAGAATGCATGTACTAAGTTACCATATTTACTAGCTTAAATAAAAGACATAACTCTACCCTGTGGGTTAAACTTGTTAATTTGTGAACCAAGTTTGCTTCCTGCTGGCAGTGATTGCTCCTGCAATAAGGATAAGCTGTCCTTCAATGGTTAACTTGATCCTCAGTGGGGGTGTGCTGGAATCATTATGATATCATTCCTGGGTAGAAAAAACAGTATGAGTCTCAGCAGCATTAGCCTGAAGATGTGAGATTGTCAAGAGAGAGCCCCAGGGTGGGGGTCTTGGTACAGGAGCCTGGGTGGTTGAGTCTGTGCAGGGGCTCTGGGGGGGTCCCCATTCAGATGCCCCCCCTCGAGTCCCCGCAGGTGCCGGGCTAGCTACAGATCCTTGGGGATCAGGGTGACTCGGCAGGCGTGCAGCGAGCACAGGTACACATCTTCCAGCAGCCACACCATGAAGGCCTCTGCTGCCTGTGTACCAAAACCTGAGCTGAGGTGGGGGGGTCCCCAAAACCCCCCAGCATGCCCCAACCCCCACAGCTCCCCCGGAGGCAGAGAACCCCCCAAAACACACACCCAGGGGGCAAGGTTTCTCCAAACCTACCCACGGGCGACTGGGAGGGACCAAAACACCCTGTGCCTGTAAATGTGTGAGGAGGCACCAACACCCAGTGACCCATCCCAAATCCCTGACAGACCCCGGGAATAAGAGACACCCCCCGCACCACCCAGAGGTCTCCCACAGGCCCTCTCAACATCCATGGAACCCTGTCCCAGAACTCATAGACCCACCCCAGCCAATAGAACTCTGCTAGACTCCCCCTCAGCTCCCATCACACACACCCAACAAACCTCTCAGCCTCATCCAAGTACCCAAAGAGAGCTTCCTGGACCTCCCCAGCCCCCAGAGACACCCCCTGCACCCACAGACCCTTCCTGCAGCATCCACAGAACCCCCTCTTCCAACTCCCATGGAAACCTTCTCAGCACCCATGAGATCCCCCTCAGCCCCCTCCCCACCCCCTAAGTCCCCTGGATACCCCTGCAGGACCCATAGGACCCCTCCAGCCCCTCTGTGACCTCCCTCCACCATGTCTGGGCCCCACGAGCCCCACCTCCTGCAGCGCCAGCAGGGCCATGCTCTGCCAGCAGTGATCGACCCCACGGGTGAAGAGGAGGCAGATCTCCTGCACCTGTGGCAGGGAGGGCACAGGGAGGGGGGCACATGGGGGCAGTGGGATCACAGGGAGTGCAGGGACACTGGGACAACATGGAGGGGATATGGGGGCATTGGGGACATCCAGGGATGGGGCCACCACCATGGCGACACCCTGGAGACGTGGAGACACTGCCCTGGGAACATCCCAGGGACCTGGGGACACCCTTGTTGTCACCCTGGAGACACTTTGGGGACACCCCAGGGAGAGGAACACTGGGGACAGGAACACCTGGGTGTCACCATGATATTTTCTGAAAAATCCCTTTGCCAGGATTTTTCTCCTGAGAAGCTGAGAAGCCTCAGAAAATAAATGTAAACAATAATTATCTGATTGCTTGGAATGTGGTCTGGAGGTTGCTTACCAACAGGTGCATCTTTGATTGGTTTCATGTGAATTGTTTTTAATTAATGACCAATCCCAGTCCAGCTGTATGGGGACTCTGGTCAGTCACAGGTTTTTATTATTCATTTTTTTCCAGCCTTCTGTCTGTATCCTTTCTCTATAGTTTAATATAGTTTTAGTATATCATTTTCTTTTAATATAATATCATAAAATGATAAATCAGCCTTCTGAGAACTTGCAGTCAAATTCTCATCTCTCACCTTGTCCTGGGGACCCTCACAACACCACCACAGCTGGGGATACACTGGGGAGCGGGGATGTGGGAACACCATGATGGGGACACCCTGGGATCTGCCAGGTGGGAGGCAGGGGGGGAAGCACCACTCTGGGAACATCTTGGGAACACCCTCAGCCATGGGAACATGGGGACACTCCCCTGGGGACACCCCAATGGGACAGGGGAACAGTGCCAGCACGGCAGGAACACCAGCATGGCATAGGGAACACCCAATCCATGCAGCCTCTGAAGCTGGCAGCACACAAGGATGTCTGGAACCACAGAAGGACTTTGGGGGATATGCAAGGATGTTGGGGGAAGACAGGCCCACCATGTCACAAGGACAGGTGGTCCTAAGGAGTCCCAGGGGTTGATCTGGGGTTCTGGGGGGTAACTTGGTGGGTCTGTAGGGGGTTGGAGGGTCCCAGTGGTTTTTGGGATGGGGTCTAACGGGAGGTTAGAGGGTTCCAGGTTGGATTTCAGGGGGCCCAGGGTGGATATGAGGTTGGATTTTAAGGGGTCCTAGGGATTGTTTGAAGGGTTCCAGTGGGTATTTGGGAGAGTCCTATGGGGAGCTGAAGGGTCCCAGGGTGGATTTGAAGGCTCTGGGGGAGGTTGCAGGGTCTGAGAGGGTTGATCTGGGGTGTCCTGGGATGGAT